GGCGAATAATTGTTTTAGTATAATTTCAGAGCTGAACAACAGAGAAATTTCTAAAATCATAATATATTAGTAACATTTATTAACATTTTATTTTAACATTTTATATAAACCACGTGGAGCGGTTTATATAGCGTCATATAAGGAACCGCTCGACCAATCAGATGGCTGGAAACTCTTTGCTAAGCTCTGAAATTATACTAAATCTTATTAGAAGTTTTGTTGTGTAATATCGCTGAGCATTTTTATGAGTTGGGCCGTAGGGCGAGTCAAAATACAAAATACTAGTAAAAATACTCAGCAATACTACACAACAAAACGTTTCAAAAGAGATTTATTATCCAACACGCCAAATTGTTATTTCAGTGCGGGCAAATTTCGCGGATATTTTTGGAGTACAAATATCGCGTGACATTTGTACTCGTCTCGCGCGTTATTTGTACTCTACAAATCGCATTTGGATAAAATGCAAAATACCTCACGTGTGAGTAGATACCGATTGTTATGGGTCTGTTTGTTTCCTTACTTGGAACTGGTCAGCTCAGACGACCACCACAAACCGTATAATATTTATCCAAGCTTTAATAATTATTCGATCTCAGAAGAAATACATTTATTTGAAATCAGAAAATCACAAATTAAGTCTTAATCTCGTAGCAAAATTCAGAAAACGTGATTGGAAACTTACTTCTGTGGCAGGTCGTAAAAGCAGGTCTCTCTTTAAAGATTAGCAGATTCAGGTAAGCGGATTTTTTTACAGACTATGAAAACGACTTCTCTCTCGTTTCGATCCTAAAAAACTGGTTTAAAACATAATAAGCTAACACTTTTAAATCACTGTACGGAATTAATGTCAGTGAAAATAAATCTGTCGTCAAAAGGCAACGCCTATTTGCTAAACGAAACACTGTTTCGTTTAGCAAATTATTATTTAATTTCCATTTGGAACTCAACGCTATTTTTATACGTTTCGAGACACTCAATTGGGAACTGTTAAATTGGAGGACTCATTCTCTAAGCTTTAACCTCGCTTGGGCTCGATTATTCCTCTGACTCTAGAGCAGCCTTCATTTGGCCAAATTCTCCCTAATTCCCTCCCCTTTGAACCTGGGGACAGACTTAGCTGGGAAACCTCGCCCCTTCGGCTGTAGCCTGTAAGACAGGCGTCCTACTAGGAACACGTAGCGTTACAACCTCTCAATCGTTAAACCGGCCAGCAAGGTTTAATTCAAATTTGGGACTGTGGGGGGAAGGGGAATATTGCCGAACCCCCCCTCTGACCGTTGCTCACCCTTTGTTACCAATTCCTTTCTCTCCCAGCCTTCTGCTGATGTACAAATCAAAGGTGGAAGCTATGATTTTCAGCAAGAAAATGCTGAGCAGTACCAGACATTAAATTGTCTTAACTTGTTTTGAAAGCTTCGAAGTAAAAGGTTTCAGTTCTTTCCGCTGCTTGGTTTGCATTAGGGACCTTAAGAAAAACCCCGACAGTGACGGCAGCGAGGACGTGAAAAAAACAAAAGATTTAACTGGCAGAGCAATAACTCAGCACGTGCGTTTTAAAACTTAGTAAATTTCTTAGCCGTTTTTTGCAAAACAACGACGTAAAATCCCCTAAATTCGCGTCGTCTGCGAACCTTAACCGCGACGGCAAATTATTTAATTTCGATTTGGAACTCAACGCTATTTTTATACGTTATGTTGAGGTTGAAGTGTGGCGCCGTATGAGACGGTAAATAGATGCAGCCATTTTCGAAATTCTAATTAAAGATAGAAATTCATTTTTCAATCGACGTCTTCCTTGGCGTCGCCGTCCTGACCTCTTAAGTGACAAAGTGGCAACGGGTTCACTGAATCTTCTCTTGTTTGCGAGGCTAAATTTCCAGCACGCGTACAGACCTAGCCTCAAATCAGACAAGGTAGTCACGGGGTATTTGCATGTGTATTGCCCCCAGACTGTCCTCCTTACAATTTTTAAGTTACTGATATGAGGAATTTATTTACCAATCAAGAGCCTTTTTAGTTGGTGATCATTTATCCCTTATCCTTTATAAGGCCTTGAGTCTCTTAATTTGTGATTCGGGGAGAGAAATTAGATGCGAGATACTCTCAGGGGTCAAATGAATGATGACTAGTTAATGACTAGTTTATTAATAAACTCTCCTCTCTGGCAGTAAAGGACATGAATCATCGAGTGTATTTTACAATCTTAAGACAACTATTATCTAAAAACTAAAAATTTACGACTATAATGCTCTAACTCTTTCAGCCAGCAATTTAAGTTAAACCATCTTAAAAGAGGAGATAAGACACAAATGTTGGTCAGTTGAAAAAGAAAAACCACCGTACTAGACTTGTACTTAATTTGTTTTTTAACGGCCAGAGATGACTTGATTATGGCACGAAGTTGAGTTGAACCCATTACCATGTAAAATACAACGCTTGAAAGATGAATTTGTTTACTCAATCAATGATCATGCACTTCGCTCTATTTTGATGCGAG